CCAGAAAGAATTATTAATGACCCTTTAAAGATTTCATTTTCAGCAGCAGTCTCACAAAATCTGGTTTATATGACTTTCTGCTTTGTTTTGATCTGTCCTAATCCTCTGAACTTGCCACAGACCTGTAACACAATGATAATTCAGATTCTCACAAATAACCCTGAGACGATATAAGGACCAGAACTGCCTCCTGAATGATCAAAGAAAGGTTCGATCATAGCGTGCACCTTTTTATGTCAGGTGTTCTAATACTTAACAGCTATTTGATGTGAGCACAGGGCATACGTGGTGATCCTGTGTGCCGGGACACTACTTGGAAACAGCTTTTCGGTACATCTCTTTGTTTTCTTACTCTGATCAAGATATGTGCTGGCATTGTTTTCTAGTTGGAATTTGAAAAGTCCCAGGTGAAGAAGTTTGAGAAAGAGCAGAAGAAGCTCTCCAGCCAGCTGGAGGAGGAGCGCTCCCGCCACAAGCAGCTGTCGTCCATGCTGGTGCGCGAGTGCAAGAAGGCCACCAGCAAGGCGGCCGAGGAGGGCCAGAAGGCGGGCGAGCTGAGCCTGCGGCTGGAGAAGGAGAGGAGCCGGGCGAGCAGACTGGAGGAAGAGCTGGCTGCCGAGAGGAAGCGAGGCTTGCAGACCGAGGCCCAGGTGGAAAAGCAGTTGTCCGAGTTCGACATTGAAAGAGAACAGCTGAGAGCAAAACTGACCCGAGAGGAGAAGCGGACCAGGAGCCTGAAGGAAGAGACGGAGAGTTTGAAGAGGATAGTGAAGGACCTGGAGGCTTCTCACCAGCAAAGTAGCCCCCGTGAGCAACTGAAGAAACCGGTGACCGTGTCTAAAGGCACAGCGACTGAGCCTCCCGTGCTGGTGTCTGTATTTTGCCAAACTGAGAATTTTCAGGCAGAAAGAACCCACGGGAGCAGCATCGCCAAGGTGGCCACCACTGGGCTGCCTGGTCCCACCACTCCTACTTACTCTTATGCAAAAACCAATGGCCATTTTGACCCAGAGCTGCAGACCACCAAGGAGTTGATGACAGGCAGCAGTGGGGAAAACCAAGTGCCTCCACGAGAGAAGTCAGCGGGATTGGCCCAAGAGAAGGCAGTAGAGAACGGCGGGTGTCCTGTGGGAACAGAGGTTCCAGGCCCCACGCCCGGTCACCTGCCTTCCAGTGGGAGCTCACCGTCTCCCAGCAGCACAGCCTCTTCCTCACTCACGTCCTCTCCTTGCTCCTCTCCAGTACTAACTAAGCGCTTATTGGGGTCCTCAGCTAGCAGCCCTGGCTACCAGTCATCCTACCAAGTAGGGATCAACCAGCGTTTCCATGCCGCTCGGCACAAATTTCAGTCCCAAGCAGATCAGGACCAGCAAGCCAGTGGTCTCCAGAGCCCTCCGTCCAGGGATCTGTCCCCCACCCTCATGGACAACTCGGCCGCCAAGCAGCTAGCCCGAAACACAGTCACTCAGGTGCTCTCCAGATTCACTAACCAACAAGGGCCAATCAAGCCCGTCTCTCCCAACAGCTCCCCCTTTGGCACAGACTATCGAAATCTGGCCAACACTGCCAACCCAAGAGGTGACACCAGCCATTCACCTACTCCAGGGAAAGTGTCCAGTCCTCTGAGCCCCCTGTCTCCGGGGATCAAGTCCCCTACTATCCCCAGAGCTGAGAGAGGAAACCCTCCACCTATCCCACCCAAAAAACCCGGCCTCACTCCTTCTCCATCTGCTACCACTCCACTGACCAAAACTCATTCCCAGCCCTCCTCTTTGACCACCACAGAAGACCTTGCCAGCAACTGCTCTTCTAATGCTGTTGTAGCCAACGGCAAGGACGTTGAGCTACTTCTGCCTACCAGCAGCTAGTCTCGAGGAGGGAGTCTCCACATTTGACATTCCATCAGATTTCATCCAGGAGCTCCGAATCAAACCGTTGAGTCAAATCGTGTTATTTATTTTGATAGTGACTGAAACCATCTGAGTAATACATTTAGTGTATTTCACCTTTTTCTATTTTTTTAAGTAGAAACTGAGTAGTTTGGGTTTTTATGACTCACATCTTTGTTCTAAAGCTAGAAGGGCACCTCAAAGATGTCTAAGCTCCAGACACCATCATGTTATGATGGAGAAAACTAATTGAGTACCAGGTGGTGATTTGCTGTCTATTTGGGGACGAGAATCACCCAACATTCATTTTAAATTATGTGGAAGAGGTTCATGGAGATTTTTATTCCAGATGAACATGTTTTAAAAGTGCCTGAAATTAGACTGCCATATGAACGTGATTCTGCAGCAGAAACACAAAATGGATCATTTAACTGCAAAAAAAATGAGATCCTCTGTGAATTCTGAATGTTACAAACCAACACTGCTTTTAATTCTGTCTTACTGTTATTAATACAAGCTTTGTGTTCAGAAACAAGGCTGCATAAGCAGAATGGGAATCCTAAAGGTGGGTGTGAACTCACCACAGAGCTGAGCTTTACAGAGCCCTTGAGAAACCCTCGTGGACGTGAAGCAGTTGGGGTGCTGATTTTCTTGTACTTTTGAAAACTTACATCACTCCCAGTTTCCTGCATAGACTGAAATCACATCTCCTTCAAAATCACATCTCCTTCTTCAGGCATCTACTGTTGTGTAAGGAACTTCTGATTCCGATTGCTGTTACTTGAATAGGAAATGGTTATTCATTCTGTATAAAAGTTTTGCAACAGAATGAGATCTTTAGTCTGTAATCAAAAAGCAATAACTTAAAATTCACTGTCTTTGTAATATTATGAGTCAGAATTATACAGGTTTTAGCTAATCGTTACTCTTCTCCAAGTTACCAGCACTTGGTGTCTGTATCTGTGGAACCAAATTAACTTTTGCCTAAATGGAAGTATACATATATCTGTATAGATACACACCCCATTACGTGTTTAACATACACACACTTAAACACATGAATATTAGTGTGATTATATCTTTGGAGTTTGCAATACAGCATAAAAGAAGAGCAGAAATGCGTGTTAAGATTACCTACCAAAGCAACCAGCTGTAGTCGAGACCCAGTCAGTCAAAAGGAGGAGTCTTGTCCATGGGGAGGGGGAAATTCAAAATGAAATCAGGTCTTCAGCATCATAAAAAGGCATGGCCAAACTAACGCAGTGCCACAAAGCTGGTCATATAAATGAGTGACACAGTTCACTCACTGCAGTGACGTGTGACAGCTGGGAGGAGTAGGGGTTGTCCCAGACCTCGGCGCCCAAGCCCTGTTGAAAAGGCCACCCCTGCTGGGCCTCAGCTGCTTGTTGCCATGCCAGAATGCTCAACCGGGGTTCCCAGCCCCTCACATTTCCTCAAAATCCAAATTTTCACAAGAAACTTTCTCATTTTTAGATACCAAGAACTGATTTTTAAAACTCTTCAATACCTCTGGTTGAACAAACACTTCTGCAGCTGGATTTAGCTCACAGGCTGCCAACTTGCAACCTCTTTCATTCTAGAACCTTCCGTCATTTCCATCACAGCAAATTTGTGAGGACAAATGTTGGCTAGCACAGCCGACAAACCACATAGAATAATGGGCTATCCTCCTCCTCCAAGCAGGATTGCCTGCAGCCCAGCTCAGACGTGGTGGTTATATGACTTTGTGTCCACAAGGATGGAGAGGCCTTGGTCCTCACATACATTCTAGCCAACATCTATCCAGCAGCCCCCGACCTCCTGCTATAGTTTAAACCTGTTCCCTGTTAATCCAATATGAGTTGCTGGGGGAAGGGCAGGTGATGGAAATCAAGGAGTGAGTCACTATGGAGTACATTGGTGTCTCCACAGCTTATGGTTTGGCTAAAGCCAACACATCAAAAAAATTAAAATGCTATTAATGCCCCAGCATGCCTACTAAATGATGGAGGGGTTATCTTAAACTGTCCAAAGCAATCATGCATTTATTCCTGTCCGTAGTCAGATGAACTGTGCTGATGATAAAATAGCTGAACTTTCTAAACAGGAAAGGGGGCGATAATCCCAGAGTGTTATTACCTCTCTTGCTTTAAATGGTAATCTTACAAGTTGCATTGTGCTCTTTTTTTGTTGTTTTGGCATAGATATATATAGAGAGAGATACTAAAAGGAAGTTTATTTCTTAGGAAGTGCACTGAATAATGTATTTCTTTTACAGTGTAATATGGGGGTGGGGAAATGCAAAAGAAATGTGTATTTTTGCTAGTTGCCTATCTTCTGAGATGAATAAGCACAATACTGTAATGGATCCAATAACCCAGTTAGGTATTATAGATTAGTATTTAAGTTTGCTGTAGATTGTGTGTGTGCTAAGTAAAAGTTCCATGATTCACAGTTTTGGTCTTAACCCATGTTGCGAAAGCTACGTTACTTGGTCAACAGATTATGATGACGTGTAACCCATAACACAAGCATTAACTAGTCATTAACACTTGTAAAGTCAGATGTACTGTGCAGAAGTCTTCATCCATTTTTATCACAGACTACATTAAAACAAGTTAAATCATACTGTCTGGGGAAAAAATAGTCTTGTTTGTACACAGTGAAGAATGTTGCACAATAGGGCCTGTTTTGTTGGGGAGGGGCAGATTGGTGTGCGAGAGCACTGGTTTTAAAAGATCGAACAAAGTCAGTGACCCTTCCAGGTTAGACCCCCAAAAGGAGGTGGTTTTCTTTAGAATCTTAGAGCTGGAAGAAGCCTTCACAATAGTCTGTAATTCTGTAATTTCTTCCAGTCTGTAATTTTTGAACCATCTGGGGGTTCTGGACCTTTTGAGAAGCTAAGAACAGCTAGACTCTATCCCCGAAAAAATGTACTTATATGTAAAATTTGGTTGGTGACTTTGCGGTGTCCATAGACCCTGAAGCCACCCATGTATCATGTACTCTGAGTGCCTCATCTTGGCCAGCCCTCTCCTTTTACAAATGACTGAAGCATCTCTTTGTCTCCTAGTCCAGTGCTGCTGCTGCTACACTGTCAGCAAATGCAAGCTGTAACCAGACAGAAGTACACTTGGAAATCCTTTGATGTTGCCAAAGATGCTCAGACCATGTGGATGTTTACATATCTGAAGTTCCGAGCATTTAAGCCAATTAATGATCATTTCAAAACACTCAGGTTTTATCCCTTTTCTCAAAACAGCCTCACTGTCAGCAGTGTTGCCTTGTCAATTTGTGTGTCTGTATATGTAGTTTATAAAGAGCACTTCTGGTGCCTAGCCCTTGAAGCACCTTCAAGTGTCTTTTGAAATTCCTCTTCAAGATAGGATGTGTTTTCATAATGGTGAGTCAGAGGCAGGCAGTGAGCATTGTTTGTTCCATAGGAGTAATTGTAATTTAATTGCTATAAAACTAGTTGAGAAAACTTAGCCTATTCACTCACCTGCTCACCTGTTGATGGCCAGTTCAAAACAAAGGAGGAGAAAGGAGACTGGGGAAGTGGTTCTCAGGCTGTACTGTGCTTAAGTCTAGCCTCGGACTCCTGCTGAAAATGAGGGGTCCTGGGAATTGGGCCTGTGGGCCAGCTGACGCACTTGAGCTGAGGGTCACATTTTGATAAATACCGCCCCATGGCCCTCACCTGTTCCTTCACGAGGACTTATTTGTCTCTAACCTAAGGGGAGGTCATAAGCTCTGGAATCTGTTTTGCCAGAATGTCACTGATATTCGGAGTCAAGAGTGCCCATCTAAATTCCAAACACCGCGTCGATGATCTCACACACACGTTGCCTTTCTGATCTTC